ATATATATATATATATAAAGGTTTCCATTACATCTAGAATGCAATCATCTTTTTTTTTTTTATCACTTTTATTTTATTTATGATTGTGGTTATTATACCTATTATTTTTCAAAAATTATCATTGTTTAATAGTTTTTTATTTTTTCACTATTAGGCCTATTACACTTATTTTTTTTTTCGCTCGCCATGTCGGATGATACAATATTTTCTAAAGTTATTATGTATTCAACCGAATGATTTATAGAGGCATACAGGAAGTAGAAGCGGAATAATTCAAATTCACGTGACGAGGACAGCCAATCATGCAGCTTGTGAATATTCGCTATTTTGTTCCTACAAGTTGTTTGAAAATTGTAAAGTCTGTGTATGCTAGGTTTTGACTTATTCGTTCTAATTAAATAAGGCTGTACTACTATTCACAGATATCTCACTAATCGACACGATCAATACGATCGTCACAAACCATCGATAACCATGAACGTTCTACCAAGAGATCAGTGAGTACTGTATTATAATAATTTTACAAACTCTACCTAACGATGAGTGAGTACTCTAGTGTAATAATTTGTATCAAATATACATTAAGTAAATGAGCGAATAGTATAATGTTAAAAGGAGTACAATTATGTACTGACAGACACATTAAAAGTTGTTACTGTAAAGAACATAATTATAAGTATGTGATTATTAAAGTATAGTTATTTTGTTAGCAAAATATCTAATCATTAACATGTTATTAACTATTTTTTTATGGTGATGAGGATAACAGTGATGTCAAGAATTAATATTCATGAGAAACCTGGTTTAGTCAATTACTGTATTTACAATGACATGACAATGAAAAATAATTCATACATTTCCTTGCTTGTTATGTCACAGAAACAAATTAGTACAGGCTATAAGTAGAAAGGACTGGCCAGCAGTAACAGACATCCTTGAAAATGAACCTCATCTTATTGAAACGAAGGATGAGGCAAGTACTAAGTTGAATTTATGAAGTGATTTTCTTGATTTCAGAATTTTTATTGGATCATATTTTTAAAATAAGATACAGTTCCAACACAAAACACAAAGTTCACAATTATTTGCACAAAATATGTGTACCTATTTTCTGGGGTTTTTTATGATTAAGAAAAATTTAATCTGCCTTACAGAATTTAAAACAAAATTGTCATTCTCTTTAATTAATTAAAAACTGTGCGGTTTAATATTGAAAACGTTCGCGAAGACTCTACTGAGAACTAAATAAATCGGTCTAGCGCCCTCTTTAGTTCAATATATGCCGTACAAATTGTAATGAGTTTACTGTTATAATTTTATCATGATTATATGTAGTGTATTATTGCGCTTGACTTAGATAGTCAAAATCTATAATAAATTTATATCATTTTTCTTCATTTCAAATGTCCCAATTAAAATAATTAACAGCCATGGCTTTAATGGTAATTGTCTCGCATTTATATATTATAGCGCATTAGACCTTTTCAGAAGTGTTTGTATGTATAGGCCTGAGGCTATACCTATGAGTGTCCCATATTATAGACTAAAATGCCATTTATTTAAACATTAATCGTGTTTTACTGTAATCAGAGGCTTCAGAATAAGATATTATTGATAAAGATACATAATCAACGGATTAAATCAATAAAAAAAAAATGAAATTCCCGATTCCATGCTGAAATTAACCAACCATGAAGATATGCTTATTTACTAATAAAGCTGGACAAACCTTTAACCCGATAAGAACATAACCAGAAACATAATACTGGAGTAAAATAAATTTGAAAAATAACAATCGATAGTACTTGAAAAAATATCGCTTGATTATTTGAGAATACAAAGTCAAAGAAACAATATTGATGGTTTTTATACAGAAATTTATTATTAGTACTTAATTTAACCATGATTGGTGAATAATATTTGGTAATCTCATAGATGAGGGGTCTATTTGATGTTTTTGTCTTCATACCATTATTCTAATATTGTAACCTATATTATTACTTTACTTAATAAATGGTAAAACTATCTAACGCTGAACACAGCCCGGTATTTAGGTTTCGGGACTTAAAAATATCTTTATTTTGAGCATTTATTACTATCCTCCACACAAGAGCATTCACACGTACTAAAGAAATATAAAAAAAATCCCACAATATGTGCTTTTTACAAAGAACCTCGTTTAAAATGCACCATGCTCAGTTAAACCATAATTAAACCACATTGTCATTCTTACAAGCCGTGTGACCAATATACATTTTATTTATATTAGGCCTACAAATTAGTTCGTTAGTTGATAAACTTCCGCATTGATATTAGAGGGGTTTGAATTTATAATGTGTTAATTAGATAATTGTTTAATAATATCGTATTGGTTGATTTAAATTGGAAGTTCGTCTCACTCTTCATTTCAAATGTCAAAACTTAAATAATTATCAGTCAGTTGTGGAATGCTTTTCCTGTTTCGTAACACAATAAACCTCGTCTCTGGTGTTTATGTTAACCTAATATAGGTTATTTTAAAATAGCTGTGACAGTCAGTTATTTAAACATAACATGTGATCAAATTATTAATATAGGATTAGTACTATTTTTTAAAATTCATTTAATTAATGGACTTTTTCTTGAGAAATGAAAACGATATCAATAATTAAATGATATTTATTTACTAATGAATTTTGATAAAATAGTAACCAGAATAAATAAATACATAAGAACTTAATGCAACAATGGCAATTTTGTTTTTTTGCATTAGGTTCGTATATATTTATTTATTCTGGTTAATATTTTATCTAAATTCATTAGTAAATACACATCATTTAAATGTTGATTTCATTTTCATTTCTCAAGAAAAAGTCCATTAATTAAATGAATTTTTAAAAATAGTATTATATTAATAATTTGATCACATGTTATGTTTAAATAACTGACTGTCACTGTCAAAAGAATTTTCCTAAAAGTGACGAGGGAGGGGTCATAAGCTAATGATTTTTTTTTCGAAAATAATATTTATTATTTTTAAATTACTTACATTGTGTATTTTATTATGTTAAAAGTTTCAATTAAAAAAAACGTTATTTTACAAACGTACAAAAATAATACGTTCTAATATTCTTTGCGTAAACTACTAAACTGGGCATGCGGCATTCTGTCTAGGGACTTTCGTACTAAATGATTTATCTACTCTAATTGTTCCTACTTAGATTTGTTTTACTCGTGCTGTTGTTTTTAGTTAATGAGTAGGCCTATAAAATTATTTAAAAAAAAAAAATTTAAAAAATTAAAAATTAAAATTGAAATTATTTACACGCGCCGTTGTCAGGTATTCTCCTGTTTTTATAAAATGTTAATACAGAGTTCACGCACGAACAATTTACAAGGCATAGGGCCTACTATACTGTACTGACAAAACATAGACATGCTAATATCATTTTTTTAAAATACTAAACACAAACCATGGTCTAACATATATACGTTTATGTTTAGACCTATTCACTGACACAGTACCGTACCTTCTCTTCAAAATAACTTACCAATAATTACCGGTACATGTTCACGCACGAACAATTTACAAGGCATATAATAGGGCCTACTATAACACTGTACACAAAACAGAGACATGCTAATAATGTCATATTTTAACATACTAAACATAAACCATGCAGTGGCGGATCCAGGAACTTGAAATAGGAGCTGGGTGTCCAGAGAGGGACTTTGGCAGATGGAGGGTCTACACCGAAAGGTCCACTGATTAATCTCAGATAAGATAGTATAATACATACTCCAAGTATCGAAATGCACGCCATCGTGTCGGGATTCAATATTTCGACATTAATTATGTCATCATCAGGAATGATGACCCCAGCATAATTGGAGCTGAGGTAAGAAAATTTACGATTATGGAACCTCTAGATGACGGGAAATGGCACTCTGAGACTTAAATTTGAAAATGATTTTCCGTTTTTCTCCAATTCTTTACAATTTTGAAAATTTTAGGGGGGGGGGGGCGAGCCGGCTGAACCCCGACCCTTGAATTCACCACTGGCATGGCCCAACAACTGTAAGTTTATGTCTAGACCTATTCACTAATACAGTATTCTACTTCCTTTTCCAATTCACTTATAAAAAATATTACAGTATTTGATGTTCTTATTTTTATTCCTAGTTATATGAAAAAAAAAAATTAAAATTACCAAAAATTGATCGTAAATAAAATTAATAAAATGAATGAATTCAAATGAATATGCGTATTATAACACACATTTTTAACTGTTTATAATATAATAATTCTTAAATCATATTGGAATGTCATCGTACTATTGAAATAATGAAACTCGTAAAAAATTATATTGGTAGTTGTATGAACTGTATCATAATTCAGTATAATGTTTGTTTTTGTAGGGTGACTGGACGCCATTAATGCACGCTGTGATGAACGACGCACCAGATGATGTGTTGGAGGATATGATTGAAACGGCAACTCCAGATTATTTAGAACAACAGACGGTGAGTAGAATTAAATATCATTGCATTTTAAACATCACAAGCACACAGCATGTGTACACATCATACGACATACAAATAACTCAAATTCAATTTCAGTGATTTATTTCATGTTGGGTTAAAAATGAGACTTTTATTTCATGATTTATTTGACATTTTTTACAACACAGAAAAAGCCTATGCTCTGGCCATTATCACTAATTCATATGAAATATTGTGAAAAAAAATACATTTTACACTTACAAAAATAGTCATGTTTGGATTTGTTCTGTTTAATACAGTTTACTGAATAAATTGGTGACAATAAAATTGATATTTTTCACAAAAAGTATTGTCGCTAAAAATCCCGATTTGGAAATATTTTACTATTGTGTGTAAAACATAGGCCAATTGATACAAATATTTTTTGCGCGATTTTGCCTAAAAAACCACATAGTAAAAATATTAAATAATGTAATTAGTATTTAATAATGATGAATGTAATAAGTAATGTATGTGTGATGTTTGTGAGTTGTTATGTGTTGTTGATATGTGGTGTGTGTATAGTTTCTTGTTGTTGTTTATTATTTCTTTCTCATCATATTCTACGTTTGTCTTGTAGTCTGTTGGTGCCACTATTCTCCATTTCTTGGCGGTCAACGCACGCGTGTCAGCAATGAGACGCGTGTTGGAAAAAACCAACGAGAACATTAACACGCAAGACATGGTGAGTACAGTAGAAGAAAACAACACTTTATTCATTGCTAACAAATTAACATTAATTCACTCACAAACACATTCAATACATCACGTTCTAATTTTGTAATAGTAATCTAATATTATTGGATGTAATACCGTGGTATAATTTATTATATTCACAACTGGTTTAGATTATGTTTTTTTAAACATTGTATTTTGTATACCTTTAAAGTACTGCCCGTCATAATAAAATATAATTAGCTATATTACAATAACATGCTTTTAATAGACACACCATAATTAATACAGTATTGTATTACTATTGTTAGTGTCATTACCATCATTATCGTCATCGGCATCACCTTCGTTGTAATTATTATTAGCTGGAATAGTATCATTTCATTATTTAAATATTCATAAAAGCATCTTTGTCCTCATAATATTATCATCACCATCTTCATTATTATAATTATCAATTTTATTATAATACATTTTTATAGGTCTATATTATTATTATTATTACATATTTCATTGGCGATAATTAAGTAGGCCTATTATGGTAGTTATAAATTATTTCAGGTACTTTTACGTTTTCGTAATATTTGTTAATTGATATTCTTGTGTTGTGCGTGTTCAACAAACTTGACGTTGATTATCATTTCATTGCAGTTTGGACGCACACCACTACATTGCTGTCTAGAGGAGAAGCTGACGCACGAGCAACACAAGGAAGTCGCAATTCTCAATATCACCTTTGGCGCGTCGCTGACAATAAAAGATATGGTAATGTACAGAAAAATGAAATGCATCAAAAGAATATCAGTCAATGACCTTAATACAACAATTTTATATGAAACTACTTGAAAAATTTTTACTAATTAAAACCAACGTAATAAATATAAATTCATAAAACATTAAATCGATTAAAATGTTAGCGAATATTGTAATGATAATGATTTTTTTAAGTATGATTTCAATAAATATTTTTTCCCCGATGTGATGTGATAGTAATTTACAACAATAGATATAAAGTTGTAATGCTCATAGTGTTGATTATTTAAATTATTATTTTCCATTTTATTATTATATCATTATGGTTTTTAAACCAAAATATACGGTACCACTGTTTTTTGTTGATTTAATTTGCAACCGTCACCCATGCAATGAAATGAATCATCGCGTGCTCGTGTCTGCTATTGCAGGATGGAAAGACGCCTCTTGATGTGTATGATGATAACGAATGTGAATACGAAGAAACCACGAAAACCAAGAAAAAGGAGGAGTTGAAAGAACTACTTAAAGGTACGATAATGACCTGTTTAAACAACATTTAACACTACAGACATATTACTCATTACATTTACTTTCTAATATAATTATACACTACTATATTATTTCAATTCAGTTGCATTTTGATTGAGAATTGTAAGAAATGTTAATCGTAATTAATTAAAATGTAATTTAGAAAGTGAATTAAATAAAAAGTATCAGTATAGAAGGACAACATACTAAATATCTGATTTTTATTTTTTTATTAATTAGAACTATCAATTCCGTCAGAGATTTTAGCCAGGGGTCCCGAAGCCGTCAAAGCATTCAAAGATGCGCTTAAAACTGGTGAAATAACAGTTGTTAATTCAAGAATGATGTTCTTAGGTAAAGAAGGTTCTGGAAAGACATCTTGTGTCAAAGCCATGCTTGGGAAAGCGTAAGTACAATCGGATGTATTAGATTTTGTACTTTATATCGATTTACTTTGCTTGCTTTTTTTCAGTTGATTTTTACATTACAGTGTACGTTCGTTTTCTACTCAACTTTTAACATGCACGCGCTAGTGTGCGCGTGTAAGTTTACTTGTAACTTTCTGAAGTAAAGTTGTTGCTAGGTGACGGGGTCGAGTGGCGGATGACACGGCTTTACTGTATTATTATTATGCAATTGGGATTTAATAGCAACTGCGAAATTTATTGTTGTTTTTGTATTTCGAATACTAATCACCAGTTGTTAGGTTACTAATCACCATATGTTAAGATTTTTTGTTTTTATAATTTGTATTCTGAATCCGTTTTGTTGGTTATAATTATTCGTTAATTTTAGAAATGCTAAAAATCAATCATTGTAATTATTATTTTTGTTGTTGATGAAATAATTACCGTATTCATTTTTATCATGATGATGAAAAACTTTAATGAATAGATTTGATAAAGAAGAGAGGTCAACTGATGGTATTGTTACAACTACTGTCTTTCAAACTGATGGCGATTACAGCAAATGGGAGGAGCAGAATGATGTGGACGGTATGATTCATAATAATTAATCTAAATGATGTTATAGGCCTAGTAACAGGGGTGGTTCCAGAAATATAGCAGTAGTCTATTGTTGCCTTCTAAACACATGAAAATAACCTCTGAAGCGTTTTGGGCGATCAATTATTTCTTTTTCTTTCTTTCTCTTTTCTTTTTCTTTTAAATTTACTTTGCAAAATGTAGGGAGGGGGCCAGCGGGACCCCCTTTAATCCACCAGGGAGTAATAAAATAAATAATTTTTTATTCGTGTTCATTAAACTTGGAAACACAAATATAATTGGTTTGGGTCCCTGGGCAGGGGTGGCGCTAGGATTTTCCGTATGTGGGAGCGGGGGTCCGAAGCTCCCGACCCGGTTGTGGGGGGGGGGGCGTTTTCCCCGAAGACGGGAAAGGTTTTCCCTACGAGAGCTAAGTGGGCGTTTGTGAGCGTTTCTTATAATGTTTCCAAAAATGGTCCCGGGGGCGTCCCCCAAATATTTTAGGAGTTTGAAAGGCATAGGCCTATTTAATCGATTTTAGAGTCTACTAATGTAAAAAATAACTATACATATATTTTTTTGCTTCCCACCCGCTCTCCCATACAGGACACTCTGGCCCGCTATCCAGAATTTTTCAAACGGTGGTGGTGGCGGTGGGGAGGGGTGAACAAATGTGTCAAAATACAGTACCGGTATACGTGTGTAGCACATAAGATTGATATGCATTGAAACTTTTAAAATATTGTGGCTAAACGCGGCTTGAACAGGGCTCTGCACAGCAGAGGAAGCATAATATTACCTACCAGCAACGCTCAGCTAAAACTTAAGACCCCTGCCCAGATTTGAACTTGGAAATTTTCGTTTACTGTACACTCGAACCACCACCTAAGCCACACAGCCACATTATATTTTTATTACTACGTTCAAAGCCTAAATGTGTGATTCAGCTGATGATATACCGGTAGGCTTACTATAAATTAATGACCTAATTGTCATGGGTAACTTTTCAATTGTGCACAGTTTGTGAACAAACTAAGGAGATACTTGAGTACGGTATCGCAGCAGACGTTGCAAAGAAGTTGAAACAGCCAAACAGTGAACAAAACAAATCTAAATTTGTATCTGATGTAGAAAGACCATCTTCATCCAGTTCTGTTGCATCTACATCTGCTGAGGTACGGTAATTTTACCTGTCGGAACGATCAAATCCACACTTACTTAATATTGATAATTCTCTATACAAAAGCTACTATATTAGTGATTCTTTGCATGTTGCGCAATATCTTGAGAAAAAAATGTGTCCCAAGTGATAAGCTAGGGACGAATAACACGTGGCCTATTCTTCGCAACTCCTTATTCAGAAAAGACGTTAACAGGATGGTCTCTGCTCCGAATCTCGACATTAGATTTTCTCAAATTTTTATTTTCATTTTTAATTATATTGAGATAAGATAAATATTATAGAATAATTAATAATTTAAAGTTAATGCAAGTATTTTAGAAGTATTGTACAGTGTACTTAGTGATTGCTATGCTGTTATATTTAGAGATATTAATATTGGTAAAATAATTGACTTATTGTTTAGTTACAGTTTCAATTACCAGAAGCAGTTAGGCCTTTGCCTCCGACTTTGCAAAAGAAAAGCAGAGGTATTAATTTTATTCTTAATATTATTTTTATGATTATCGTTATTGGTATCTTCACCATCACTACAAACATCACCATCATCATTACAATCATATCATCATTAGTATAAACACTATTCACAAAATCACCATCGTCATTCTCATTCTCACCGTCATCATAGCATTATTAACATCATATCACCACCATCATAATCTTCTTCTTCATCACTCTCATATGATGATCATTGGCCATCATTATCGTCGTCGTCATCATTCTTATTATTTTTACCACCGCCATCATAACTATTGATATTATTTTACACCATTCCTTCATTGATGTTTAGTTATCTATAAAGTATATATTGTCATATATTTTCAGTAAAAACTGTAGGCCTATCTCATGACAAGATGGGAGTATCGACCAATCACCTAATGAAATATGAAATACGCAAGAAGATTGTCGAAAATTTTGCTAACAAGAGTTCGGGACCAAGAGATATAACATGCATATGGGACTATGCCGGTCAGATGATTTATTATATAACTCACCGGGTAAGTGGTTAATTTAAACTATGGTACAGTATTATTGTTGTTTATTATTGTTTTTACCACCTGCTCGTCATCTTTATTTGGAGTAATTGCATACCTATTTTTATTAAGATTTTGAATTTTAAACTCTGAGAGTCCAAAGCGGTAGTGTATACACCATTTTATCGGGTGTATTTTGAAACAGTGCCACCAACGTCTCGCAACGTTTCACTGGGGACATCGACATCCAGTATCCTTCCTAGCCAGAGCAAATTTCGTTTTTCCAGACCCGTACAGTGACAGTCAGTGTATGATCTTCAGTAGTAGGCCTACTTTGACAACCAAAAAACCACTGTAGGTTTAATGCGCTCTTTTTTCCTTTTTTTGGTATTATGTTTTCAAAGATAAATCACCTAGGCTAACTCACTACAAGACGGTCACAGCACACATACAAGCCTACATACGGAAGAGCGAATACTTAGGCCTCTATAATATGGAACGCCATACCATTCGGCGCATTCATTCCCACAGCCGTTGAAATTTTTTATTTGGGCCAGTGTCAAAGGTTATATTTTATTTTTAATTGTGCCGAATGTAAATACGCCGAATGTAAATGCGCCGAATAGTAAAAGGGCCGAATGTAAATGCGCTGAATGGTAAAAGGGCTGAATGAAAATGCGCCGAATGGTAAAAGAGCCAAACATAATGGTAAAAGGGCCAAATGAAAATGCACCGAATGGTAAAAGAGCCGAACGTAATGCTGAAAGGGCCGAAAGAAAATGCGCTGAATGGTAAAAGAGCCGAACGTAATGGTAAAAGGTCCGAATGTAAATGCACCGAATGGTAAAAGAGCCGAATGTAATGGTAAAAGGGCCGAACGTAATGGTAAAAGGTCCGAATGTAAATGCACCGAATGGTTGACAGCGCCACCAACCTTTCAAGAAATACATTGCAAGGGGGTTTATAGGCTCATTCCCACAGCCGTTGAAATTTTTTATTTGGGCCAGTGTCAAAGGTTATATTTTATTTTTAATTGTGCCGAATCTAAATACGCCGAATGTAAATGCGCCGAATAGTAAAAGCGCCGAATAGTAAAAGGGCCGAATGTAAATGCGCCGAATGGTAAAAGGTCCGAATGTAAATGTACCGAATGGTAAAAGAGCCGAATGTAATGGTAAAAGGGCCGAATGTAAATGCACCGAATGGTAAAAGAGCTGAACGTAATGGTAAAAGGTCCGAATGTAAATGCACCGAATGGTAAAAGAGCTGAACGTAATGGTAAAAGGGCCGAATGTAAATGCGCCGAATGGTAAGCTGTTACCGAAGGCAGCGATGGCGTTCCTCATGTTGCTGCCAGTGCCAGGTTCTCAAAAATTTTCATTTTAAATTAGCTGCAACGCTTAAATGGAAATAACGTGGCAGAGTTTAGCCACACAAGTTTTGCTTATCAAAATGACGCTGCATGGTGTAGCAACATAAATAAAACTTAAGTTATATTAAAATTGGTTCAGCTCTTAAATTATTTCTTTAAATGTTGTGTTAGTCATATGCTGTATTAAATACGTATTTTCTATTTTTATTTTCAGTTTTTTCTTACAGATAGGTCATCGTATGGAGTTGTTTTCAGTTTGGTTGATGATTTGAACGATTTTGTAAAACCAAGAAAATTGAACGAAGTAAATAAATCACTGTATTTTGGAGGGGAGAGGTGTTATAGTCCACTTTGTACATGTTTGATTGACTGTTATGCCTATAGACATTTATCATTTTTAGAAATTTTACAATGTATTCATTTTCGCTATCACAACTTGTTGAAATAAAATTTAGTAACTATTTCATTGAAATCATAGATATTCATTTTACTTATGTCTGGTTTCATTGTTAAATATTATGTGGTTGTTATTTATGTTCATTTTAAGGGAAAGTTTGACATTACTAATATGCAAATGATCATATTCTGGATACGGTCAATTTACGAACACGCTGTACTGCTACATGGGACAGAGAAAGAACCTGTCAAAGGAATAGCATCACCGCCGATTAGTCTGATTGGGACGCACAAGGACCTCCTAATGGGC